TTTATGGAGTGGATTAGCAGAACGGAGACATTGGTATGTCAAAAAAAAAATTATAGGTTAAGTTTTAACTGTCACTGTCTAATATTAATTCATCAAAGTTTCCATACCAACTTTATAAAAAAAAATATAGGTTACATTATACAATAATATGTGGAGGTTTTGAATTTCTTGATAGAGGTGATTATAACAAATAAATTACCTCCTTAATTTCGTTTATTTTAATCATCTGTATCATTATAGGTTAAGTTTTAACTGTCACTGTCAAATATAATTCATGAAAATTTCCATACCAACTTCATAAAAAAAATTATAGGTTACATTATACATTAATAATATGTGGAGGTTTTGAATTTCTTGATAGAGGTGATTATAACAAATAAATTACCTCCTTAATTTCGTTTATTTCAATCATCTGTATCATTATAGGTTAAGTTTTAACTGTCACTGTCAAATATTAATTCATCAAAGTTTCCAAACCAACTTAATAAAAAAAAATTATAGGTTAGATTATACAATAATAAGATTTGTAGGTTTTGAATTTCTTGATACAGATGATTATAACAAATAAATTACCTCCTTAATTTCGTTTATTGCAAATACTTGCTTTAATCATCAGGTTAAATTTTATCTGTCACTGTCAAATATAATTCATCAAAGTTTCCATACCAACTTCATAACAAAAAATTATAGGTTACATTATACAATAATAATATGTGGAGGTTTTGAATTTCTTGATACAGATGATTATAACAAATAAATTACCTCCTTAATTTCGTTTATTGCAAATACTTATTTTAATCATCAGGTTAAATTTTATCTGTCACTGTCAAATATAATTCATCAAAGTTTCCATACCAACTTCATAACAAAAAATTATAGGTTACATTATACAATAATAATATGTGGAGGTTTTGAATTTCTTGATACAGATGATTATAACAAATAAATTACCTCCTTAATTTCGTTTATTGCAAATATTTGTTTTAATCATCAGGTTAAATTTTAACTGTCACTGTCAAATATAATTCATCAAAGTTTCCAAACCAACTTAATAAAAAAAAGTTATAGGTTATATTATACAATAACAATATGTGGAGGTTTTGAATGTCTTGATACAGATAATTATAACAAATAAATTACCTCCTTAATTTCGTTTATTGCAAATACTTGCTTTAATCATCAGGTTAAATTTTAACTGTCACTGTCAAATATAATTCATCAAAGTTTCCAAACCAACTTAATAAAAAAAAAATTATAGGTTACATTATACAATAATAATATGTGGAGGTTTTGAATTTCTTGATACAGATGATTATAACAAATAAATTACCTCCTTAATTTCGTTTATTTTAATCATCTGTATCATTATAGGTTAAGTTTCAACTGTCACTGTCAAATATAATTCATCAAAGTTTCCAAACCAACTTAATAAAAAAAAATTATAGGTTATATTATACAATAATAATATGTGGAGGTTTTGAATTTCTCGATAGAGGTGATTATAACAAATAAATTACCTCCTTAATTTCGTTTATTGCAAATACTTGCTTTAATCAGGTTAAATTTTAACTGTCACTGTCAAATATAATTCATCAAAGTTTCCATACCAACTTCATAAAAAAAAATTATAGGTTACATTATACAATAATAATATGTGGAGGTTTTGAATTTCTTGATACAGGTGATTATAACAAATAAATTACCTCCTTAATTTCGTTTATTGCAAATACTTATTTTAATCATCTGTATCATTATAGGTTAAGTTTTAACTGTCACTGTGTAATATAATTCATCGAAATTTCCATACCAACTTAATAAAAAAAAAATTAGGTTAAGTTTTAACTGTCAAATGGACCTCGTTATACATCACTTGACTAAGCGAAATTTAATCGTTTCTAGAGTTTTTCATGCTGTTTGATAGGTAAAGGTGTAACTTATCTTAGAAAAAATGCAGAATACCAAAAGACTTAAAATACTCTTTGTTTTAAAGGATAAAGTTAAGTGACAATGACGTTATACGATTTTAAGTCAGACCTATACCAATGCATATCTGGCCAAACAGTTCCATCTATTCCTCAATGAGTTTCTGACATTTATTAGTGCTAAATTTTGGAGTTTTTAACATATTTCATTCATTTCCTGCTGGTTTCAAGAATTTCTTGATAATTTCCCAAAAATACCAAGGATTTGAATGTTTCCAAGGTTGGTGATGGATTTAGAAAGGTTTTGGAATTTATTGATGATGGATTTAGATTTGCAAGAACTTTTGGAAGATTATCAATATATTTTCCAAGGAATTAAAGAATTTTCTAAGATTGCAAAGAGTCTGAACTGATGGATCTACATTTACTAAAACTCTGAGTATTTCCAAATATTCTTAAAAGATTTTAGAGAGTACTACGAATTTATTGATGATGATTTATTAAGACTTCAGAGTATTTTCAACAATTACTACCAAGATTTACAAGCACTTTCGAATCAGATCCAAAAATTTGTGTAAGATTTCTAACATTTACATGCATTTCTTCGAATTTTGGATTAATTACAAAAAAAATTATAGATTAAGTTTTAACTGTCACTGTCATATATTAATTCATCAAAGTTTCCATACCAACTTCATAAAAAAAATTATAGATTATATTATACAATAATAACATGTGGAGGTTTTGAATTTCTTGATACAGGTAATTATAACAAATAAATTACCTCCTTAATTTCGTTTATTTTAATCATCTGTATCATTATAGGTTAAGTTTTAACTGTCACTGTCAAATGGACCTCGTATACATCACTTGACTAAGCGACATTTTATCGTTTTTAGAGATTTTCATGCTGTGTGATAGGTAAAGGTGTAACTTATCTTAGAAACAATGCAGAATACCGAAAGACCTAAAATACCTTTTGTTCTATAATTTCTATAATTTCGGACCAGTGTCGTTTTCTAGATGTTAGTATAAAATTAAAAGTGTATGTCTTTTATTTTATATAGAATTTAAATTTAACTAGTTTCGGCCCTTGGCCATCTTCAGAGACTCTACAAATAGATTAGCATCTCTCATCTTATCCATTTTACAAACGACAGCGGTAGGTAGTGCTAGTTAGCATAACTAAAACTAGAAACATTCAGGTTGGGTTGGGTTGTGAAAAGAACTTTCAGCTGTCAATGTCAACTTTAATTTTATTATTATATTCGTAATCTTCATAAAATAACCATTAAAATGAGTCCAAAGATGACGCATTTCTCTCAAAAAACAAAAAAGTTTGAATAAAAAACATTAAACCCGAAGTTAGCAACAATGAAGAAGGCAATTTAATTTTTAAATATTAATACCAACCTCAATTTTTTATTTTTTAAAAATTTTTTATTTATTCAAAGTTGACGTTGACATTCTTAACCGGAAGATGACCATAATTAATATTGAAGATAAATATGTCGTGTTTGTACTCATTTTAAAGGATTTGTAATGAAGATTACAAATATGTCAAAATTGAGGTTGACATTTTAAACCTGAAGTTAGTTATCATATAATAAACAAATGGACAAGTTTATGGTGTTCTTTCATGATGTATTCTTTGTTAAAAAAACCTTTAAAATGAGTCCAAACATGACGCATTTATCTCAAAAAACAAAAAAGTTTGAATAAAGAACATTAAACCCGAAGTTAGCAACGACGAAGATAGCAATTTAATTTTTAAATATTAATACCAACCTTGATTTTTAATTTTTTTTTTATTATATTTTTGTTTTTGTGACAAATATTAAGACATTTTATGAAAATTAGGAATATGTCAAAATGACATTGATATTTCTAACCGGAACTAGCTTATACCTCGAGTAATATTGAAATTAAACGTATCATGTTTGGACTCATTTTAAAGGATTTTTCACGACGATTACAACTATGTCATCGTTGACGTTGACATTCTTAACCGGAAGTTGATCATAACTTAATTAATATTGAAGATAAATATGTCGTGTTTGTACTCATTTTAAAGGATTTTTAATGAAGATTACAAATATGTCAAAATTGAGGTTGACATTTTAAACCTGAAGTTAGTTATCATATAATAAACAAATGGACAACTT